GGGGGGGGGGGGGGGAGGGGAACAAGTTCAACCTACTCTCAGGGAATCTCAGGAACCTTTTCTCCGTGAACGAGGTTTCCGTTTCAGATCGTCTCACATGTGACCCTTTATACGAACTCACCGCCACCCAAAAATATTGGTACGATAACTCAAAAGCTGTCGAGCCAAAGTCGTCCTCACACCTGAACTACCATCAACTCGTCATTTCTGCCTTATCTATTACTTTTTAATTGAAAAACTATTAGGGGTACCATCCGTGAAAAGCGCTCCCACACTACATGTCGACTAATTCTATCGATTGAAGAAAAAAGCAGAAAGATAGGGTTAGTGAGGCACGGTATGTGGAGATGCAAATGCATGGGAGAAGAATATGGAGCTGCCTCATGAATCATACCACTGGTACAATAAACTTTGACTATATGCTGTGATGCATAATTGCGTTTTCTTGATCATAATTCACTTCTCAGGAACTAACGTCTGGAAAAGATCAGAGTGAATCGCAGTCGTCAGAGAACTGTTGCATAATAACAAAATTATATACGAAATACTAAATCGTCACCATCACAGTAAGTGCCGGCATAGACCTTCGAGTTGTGTCAAATCGGACTGCCCTTTACAATTTTGTATAAATGAAACCACCTTTTAGAAGCGTTGGAGATACCTTTAGCTATTCCTACAAGGTTAAATGGCGGACGTACCAGTGTAGAATAGTATGTTGGAATGAAACGAGAAAAACCATGAAACTTCCGAAATAATTTAGAGCTTGTTTTTGAAGTATTAGATTTCTATGGTTGAACGAGTTTACAGCACCATGAAAGGTTTTGGACGAGATCCAATTTGCTGCAGAACAAATGTAGAACTGTGCAAAGAACTACTTTGTCAACGAATAGCGTGAGGCGACACGTGGCGCAGCCGTGCAGGGACGTCCGTTGATGCATCTTTTTTTGGTATGGAGATTGGCATTGGCATCGAAAACGCTTTTTGAACTTTTAATGCTCCTTGCCTGGTCCTTTTTTCTGCCTGAAAATGCATAATGTGACTTTCTCAGGTTCCTATGCAAATGAATCTTCGAGACCTATTTTGTCGCGGAGCTTGCATTCTACACCTGCTAGAACAAGGGCCTGCGCTTTGGGAAGAATCCTAAGACCTTCCTTTGGAAATTTGGCACAGAGGCCCTCGTTGAAATCGTCATTGGTTTATTAATTCGCGTATCGGTCTGTCGCCAAGGGCAAGGATGGAAAAGAACAGCACAGGGAAGAGTTTTCTACTCATACATAGAAAACTCTTCCTGGTGCTGAACAAGAGAAGGGGATAAACGGAAAGATAAATAAAAACAAAGAGGAACCTGAACCATAATAGTCCTAACTATTTCTTACAGATTTCTTACACAAAAGTTTAAGGAAGTCCCTATCTTCCCTACTCGCTAGCCGGTTCGGGATAGTTGTTTATTAATAAAGGCAGGGGAAATATACAAATACAAATGCACACTAAAGAAAGGGCAGAGGAAACAGCAAGGAGGTCTGTTGAGAGAGTGAGTAAGCGCACAGGAAAGAGACGGCCAGCAAACTTAAAAAGCATTGTGTATTGACTTTGAGAAAGGTTTATTGATTCGATCAATTTTGAATTTCAAATGCACTGTCATAAAACGTGCTCGACTAGAAATGGAATGGGATGGAGGCGAGTATTTCGAAACTCGAATTCGCGTTGTGAAAGGAAATTTAGAAGTGAGCTCCAATGGAGAAATGAGTCAGTCATTAGTTAGTCAAGAAACAGTTGTTGTAAATGCAACCCCAGTTCTTACAAATTTTGATAAGAAAATCCCCGTTGGGGTCAAGTGTGGTCTCAAGAAACAAGGGTTCACCAATATAAATCGGCCCTCATCGCACTTCATCGTATAGGCCACAACCCGCTCCTCCCAACAGACTCCATCAAAATCACACATAGGTGTTAACGTGGGACAGGGTGGGGCCGAAAAATGACATCAAGAGGGCATTCATTATAAAGGATCTAAAACCGGCTTGGCCGACATACACACCCAAAAGTGACCGTGTTATGACGGAATTCTAAGACTGCGCCATGCACAATGAGGATTAAAGGCGAATAGTCTGTGCGCTCATAAGGGAGACAGCAAGACGGTTACAAACACCTAATCTCATACAACCACTCTCGCTACTACTTTTTGAAGCCATATTTTGCGCTCTCCTCGCCATTTTTGCACTATTCTGTTTCATTTTCCATGAGGGATGAAGGAAGAAGTTTTTAACGTTAATCAATCCCGTCTGGGGTGTACGCCCCGTACTCGACTACCATTAAGAATAGTAGTAGCGTAATGAGTGCGTATGTGGCCTATACAATGACTTGCGGAGGCTTGCTGATGTACAAGTCAGCGCTTTAATCCTCCCAGACGAGTCTGGTGCCAATAAGTCGACCCAGGAGGGATGGAAGGCTTGGTTGGCCTAGGCGAGTATCGATCCAGAATTTGAGCCCCTGACCATGCGTGTGAGATAGTGCGGCACTTGTCACTACACCACCTCTGCGCTTAGGTTCTATAAGTTCCAATATTTCACTCGAGTCAGATACCTCGGAACTTTTGTGAGCTGTGCCTTTGAAAGTTGTATTGTTGCCAAGAGCAAATTGTTCCTCGGTGCACCCCCTCGTAAGACACAATCTGCTGATAGAAAGGCATCAAGCAGTGAACCCTTGTATTACAACATTCAAGCAGACAGACAGTAGAAAAGTAGTACAGCGGAGTGTCAAAGGAAATGAAACAAATTTGAAAACGCTTCAGATGGAAATGCCCACACGGAAAACAGGGACTGTCAGGAAGCGTAGGCTGAAAGAAGAGGACGCGAGCCAGTGTGTTTGCTTATATTGCTCATCGAACGTGTCATTCCGCCTCATAAATAATGGAAAACATTTTTTTGCAATTGCAATTTCAAACGACCATAACTTTTTCTATAGTGCCCATTTGCTAGGACAAATATGGGAAAGGTAAATATTAGACTCATAGGAGGAGTTGCTCAAAGGTTCAAAGGTGGAATATTATCTCTGGGGCAAGTTTGGAGTTGAAAACGAGAATCGCGGGGAAGATAGCTCGTCTTCAAGGATCATGGCCTGCCTGTGCTGGCCTTTTCGGCAAAGCTGCCAGCAAAGTAACTAAGTCCAAGATTCCTACACCAGGCTGGGGTTATATGGGGATTAGATATGATCTAGCTTTGTCTGGAATACGTCTGTTTTGTCAACAGCTAATTTGTCATTCGGAAGCATTCTCTGCTCTATTTCTTCGCTTTTATTTGTCCTAAATGAGCTAGAATTTTTGTTTACATAATATTAGGTTTCAACCAATGAAAGTTAAGTAAAGTTCTCTATGTTTTTCTGTTTTCCAAAAACTAACCCAAATCCTTCACCGGAACTTTGATTTGTCATTGGAAGATGCATTCTGGTATAAATAGACACGAGAAAATGGTAAGCAGTCAAAATCTGATGGAACACTATTTGCTGGAGAGCTCACAAGAATGCTGTTCTGGGAAGGTCGTGACTATGTGCGAGATGTTTCAGAGGTTATACCTTTTTTCTTATGAAAGATAAAATCTCCATTCTGTACCGGTTTAGTTGCCTCAGCCAGGCACTTAGATCGGTCATAGTTAACTCTCTCACTGCTCTTTAGACTTTTCAGTGGCTCACAATGGCTATTTTAACAAAAATTTGTCTCAAGAACCGTCGGTCGATGGATGAACCCTGGCATTATCAACTACAGATGATTGAAGGAAACAGGAACATATCTGGAGTACAGTTTGAATAAACAGCATCAATATGAGAAATAATCAAATCTAAATAGGTAAATGGAAACAAGTTGGATCTCAAAGCAGACGATAACAGCAGCTGCCAATTGCTGCAACAGAGAAGCATTCGAAATGACCATTCTCCTCTTCTTTAAAAGTCTGGTAAATGAGGGTTTTCATCATATTAGTTCTATTCAACTGTCTGTCTACACAATGCCTCACTTCTGCCTTAGTCACGATTGAGGCGGAATCAGGAATTGCGAAATGGGAGGTGGACAGCTGACAAAGCTGCGTTCTCATTTCACGATATGAAACTCCGCTTGAGTTGTGACTAACGTAGAAATGAGGCTTTTGGAAAGCAGGTTGAAACCTTCATCATACTATACTATGCCGTAAAACCAAAAATTTAAATGTTGGTGGAATTTTCTTCCGAAAAAAATTAAATACTGGCTCTATGGTGCAACTCAAAATGTAATCTGTTGAGTCACTCCATGGCCCATCATTTTTCGTATTTAAGCTTATCGACAAATTGATACCCCAAGTCTGAAAAAATCATGACTACAATCGAAGCAGATATCACCTTGAAGTTCAAAATGTTGGTTTGAAATCCAATTAAGCTTACCATTAGATGCCCAACAGGAAGCTTGCTTCTTCATATCAACGGCAGACGTCAGGATTTACTTCTATCCCAAAGCTCTACAAGATTCGAGAAGCTTCCAGAACCCTGCTCGACTTTTAGCTAAGTTTCTGCACCTTTGCAGTTTAAGTCACTTCATGGGAAGGCCATATGAGACTCCGAAATACGAATAAGAGTCCCGTGTACACCCATAACTTGGCAGCACGTGGGACCGGGACATGGGACACAACGAACAGCGAGTAATAGACTTCGTTGTAACTTTATTACTGATTCATCAAATATTACAGAACTGAATCGGCTATGGAAGTAGATGTGTTCAGAAGAATTGAACTGAATGAACATGTACATCTCCAGCAATCTCAACAGAGTTAATGTGGGAGCTTGGTAGACGTTCAGCAAATTCGTGAAGAACAGATCCATTGAGGAGAACCTGGAAAGAAACGTAAGAACTGGTCTAATCGGACTAGTTTGTAGCAACGCGTCACCTGAATGCGACCATGATTCGATACGAATTCCAGAGTGTAGACTCTTTCAGTGTGGAAAGACATGGTGGTTCTTTCCTCATGCATCCAGTTGCCACCACGTGTTGTGTTGAATACAATGATGTTCTCCTTGAATAAAAACAGCATATGGACAATATACCCGAAGGAGACCCCCTCTCCCTATTCGATCCTCATTCTCGAGTACCGTCTGCAAAGCTTCCGTTTTGAAACGAAGAAGGGTAGTTTTTGGAATGGATAGTGGGTATGAAAGTCAAAAATCTTATAATTATCCAGAGCCCCATGAAGCCTCATTATCCCTCAACAGGGTTCAGGGTACACCTAACTTAGGCACTCCTCTACTTGGTCCTCTGACAAAGAGTCAAAGTCGCATATCTACTTTTTGCAGAGCCATTGTCTCGGTTTTAAATCTGTGACTCGGTGNCGACTATTTTGTCGACGGTTTCGTTTTCCATGTCTGCCACCAATGAGTCAGAGACCTACGTTTGCAGTGGGTGCATGGCAAAGATTATGTTTAATCGCTTAGTCGTTTTTCCAGCTAGGCTGACTCACGCTGTCATGCGCATCACAATTCCAGCCTTAGAAGAATAATTTATTTCCAGTTCCTCTTAGAATCTGTATATCTTGCCTGGTCCACCACATTGATTCTCTCTTTTCTTTGTTCAGAATAGGGAATAAATCCCCATTCTGAGCATGTTATTTTTGGTTTGATATGTTATATTATTATGTTAATATGGAAAGAATTAAAGTGGTGTCGGAGTTGAAATCGATCGCGCTTGTCTAGAATAAGGGACCTTGCCAAAGCAGGGCAAATTGGTTTGTTGCGCCATGTGCTCGACCTTAGTTTGGAAACGTAAAAGTGCTTGCAAGTGTCCAGAGAATGGCTCGGTGGTCAAAGAAAAATGCCACGACGTTCTCCCCTCTTACTTAAGCTTAAGAGTTCAGGTGGTACTGAACGACTTGACTGGATGATGAATTAGTTATTCCACCCCCGACCTGTTGCGCAGGTCCAAGGGTTCAAGGGGTGATAAACCACCATTCGATTAGATTATGTGAGACTAATGCTGATTGTGCCCGCTATGACGAGCCTCTTATCTTCGTCCACTTCTCCCCACACTCTACTTGCTAAGCAACGTAAAGATAGGACAAAGGTCGGGGATTCAATGAAAACAAACTCACATTGAGACGTGGATTGAAATGTAATGCAATGTCCGATGGGGTGCACAAATTGATCTGAAAATACTTGTGTTTACTGGCAATTAGAATACTAGATTGTCAAAAAAGTTCTCCGACAGAAAGGAAGTCGTTTTGGATTTTCACACTAATGGCGATTTGTTAGCAAAAATTCAGTCTCTGACATTCATGTTGAACTAATTTATAGAACTTCCAAAATTAATCAAATATTAGGACTATATTCACCAGAGAGATCAACAGCCTTCCCCTATTCACTCCCCAAATCACTGATACCTTTTGTCCAACAATATTAAGCTGTGAGTCAATGAAGTCATTAACTGCCTTCTTCAGTTCCTATTAAGTTCAACTTTCTTTTTACAAAGGGATGCTTAAAGGCACACTTCACGATAGAACTGGTTTTTGAGATCCCCCCACAGGATGAATTTGAGGCCCCCGCATATACCATATCTAGCACTATTAGGTCGGAAAACGACTTAGTTGGGGAGTTATACAAGCTCAAAGATTGGCCCGTGTGAGTTTTACCGGCATTGTAGAGGCTGCGCCGATCACAAGGGAACCCATGAGGAAGTTCAAACAACTTGTTATGACCCATACCGACAGTGAAAGACAGTTCTGTATAGTTCTGGCTTGATGTAGTCACCTCTTTGTACAATTGCAATAACTGCAATCTCGTCCGAATACCCCTTCCATGTTATTTACGTCATGGCAATCTCGTCCAACCCCTATTTTCCCTACTTTTGAGAAGCCATATTTTCTCGAATCGGCAAAGTCTCTCGTTTTTTCACTACACATGAACCATTCTCAATCTGTACTTCCGCTTGTCGAATAAAAACGCGTACATCAAAATTATCGTGAACTGTGCCTTTAAGAAGGTGATATATAT